TAAACCCATGCCGCGAAGTAACTTCTAGAAAGAAATAAGCCCATGCCGCGAAGTAATTCAGTAAGCCGACGTGAATTAGCAAATATATTATTTTAATGTGTTTCATACTGTCGTAAGCATTTGCAATATTGCAGGGTACAAAGGCGGCAATGTGTTTCTTAGAACGAGCTAGTTGTATCCTGCTTTCCAAATCAACGTGGTCGAACCAAATGAAGCAGCCATGCCTGAATCCAATTTTGCATGTGCTTACAATTGCGTTTTCGTACAACCAGTAGTCTATCCTAATGTGTAGAATTCTTTCGATTAGTTTCAACACATTAGATGTGAGTCAAATAGGCCTAAGGTAATCCAAAGAAAATCCAGCTCCATGTTTCTTTGTAACGAAAATATTTTCGCAATCCTCCACTCATGTGGAACCAACAAACGTTCAATGGAGTGGTTAACTACTGCAAGTAAATCCTGAGGTGATACTTTATGGATTATTTTTATTATCGATGCAGTTATTGCATCAGAGCCTGGAGCAATATTGGGCAACAATTTCACTACTTGTGCTTTTCCGACGCTGTAACCTCGTCAAAGTTATCGCTGTTAACAGAGCACCACGAGTGGTAAAAGTGAGCAGCCGTGAAGTGGCTTTCCAGACTTTGAGCAATATTTTCGAGAAAAGTAGGCAACTCACTTGGTGTAGAGGCTATCGATTAGAGGTTTATTGGTGGTGGGATTACTTTTTTGGCCTTGTAGAAGTTGAAAAGCGATTTCCTGTGGCCAGGCTTTAAAACGAACTAGGAACGTTGGCTGTCATAGTTATATTTGGCAGCGGCAACTGTTTGCCTAAAAACTGCAGGCGAAAATTTATAATCGCTTCAGTTTCTAGGACACTGATTATACAGCCCTTTTCGTCTCGCCGCTTTTCTTAGCCTGTAATGACGTGAACAATCAGAGTTCCACGTATGATTGAATGAACGTTGTTTGGAGACCTGAACTGTGAATATGCCTTTATTTAAATATTGCTTTATAACATCATGGAAGTTGATAACTTTCGCTCTTCATTTACCCTGGTTCGTTTTGAAAAATACACACGTAGTTTCTGTTCAAATGTATTGAACTTGTTCTGAGAAGTGGGCTGCCTTATTCCTGAAGTCACCAGACATAGAAGCTCCAAGAATACAGGAAACATGGTCGCTATTTGTACGTGAGTTTTGAGTAGACCATGTAAAAATACACAAGCTAGGACAACAGGAAGTAAGATCTAACGCAGAGTGAGACTGATTGCACACAACATTGGGGGTTCGCAGATTATAGCATGGTAAATTACTTTCAGCAGCAAAATCTAACAAACGCTTTCCACTCATATCTGTTCTGAATTCCCACGAAGGGTGATGAGACTTGTAGGCTCCTTCCATTATTATGTCTTTTCTACAAGACAAATTGCGATATCTTAAACACCAAAATTGTGAAAACCTGACGCAAAATGAGCGTTTACTAACGAAAAGTGAAGGTGCCACAGAAGACAGATATCTATTGTTAAAATATTACTTTCTAAATTCATATTTTTGTCTGGAACTTTTACCCGATGGTCAATTTTTGAAGAGATAAGGACGGATAATTCACCACTTAGAAGAGGGTGGTTTAAGCGAAATGTTTTGTAGTTTTTAAGCTAAAATATTTCCTCGTTAGAGCCAAGATTCTTAACAAACTATAACATCTGGACAGCGCTCATTACAAAGGAAAAACGTGCCAGCCTTTTAAGCCTAGCACGGGATGCTCCACTTCGTCTTCTTCGATCACTGGCATAAAACTGGCTCACTATTCACTGGCACAGCACACGAGGTGGCAATATGGATGATTTTTATGCCTCACGTTTATTGAAAAAGTTGCGACAAAAAACCCAATTTATTCTGAATTAACCGCAGTATTTCAGTGAAAACCTAATTTTTTTTCATTGGATGACACTGCTTATACGAGTTTACCTCAGTCATATTGATAATGACATTTTTATAGGTTAAAATTATCCGTAACGATCCTTCTGTTAATGTTCGTGACTGTTAATTCCACTATAAATATTGTTGAAGCAACTGCTCTGAAAATCTTTCTCTTACTATTTGTATATTATGCAATTTATATTCTATTTGTTGTATATATGCTACTTCATTCGCATTTGGTCTGCATCTAAAGTTTTTTATTCGCAAAGGCCTACAGGTACAGGTCATCGACAGAAAAAGCATCTGTCCCGAGCAAAGAGTTGTTTAGGACGTAAGCTCATATATTACCGAGAATTAGCGTTGAAAAGTGGTGCCCACTTTGTTACGTTGCGTGCTATTTGTGACAGCGGAGCATTTTCTTTGCATCAACTTCGAACTATAAGAAAAGTAGCTCACCTCAGCATGAAAGTAAAGGACACTCACATTCTGCCGGTGGGTACACAGTGGGTGGTCTCCTTTACCTGTCAGGCGGAAAGTACGTGCCATCTAATTCAGTCGTTTGAGAACACCAATTTTAAATGCGGAACGTTTCTTACTCGCACGATGCCGTGGTCCCGGTGTCGAGAGCGCCAGCGACAATCCACCTGTCCATGCTCGCGTATCGTGCCAGCCCGGGAAGACACCCGCTAAGGTTAAGGCTAAGGTTAAGAAGTTGCAGGTAGGTGGCTGATCTAGTCTTGAATAATTTGCAGACAATTGCCCCGCCCGGTCTCCCCTTTGGTAATTATAGCTAATGTCCTTTGTGTGTTTTTTGGCTAAGTGAGAGCAGGCTTTTGAAATAAAAATAGTGCATAGCGCGACGTAAGCCTGCATAAGACGGCTGCCTTTATGCTATTTTAAGTGCAGTATTGTGCCAGTACTGTATAAGTACTTCCAAAGTACATATACACCCGCAAAACTGTCACCACGACCCACCCCCGCAACCGATGACTGGCCACCCCATATATGTAGGCACTCGATTATACGGAATACGTTAAGCTAGCAGCAGATAAAATTTCATAAGCGACTGAGAGAAATAGGGTAGGAGCGTTGGGCTAGGAATACGGAATTCAGTCAAGGGCGTCTTTACTGGGCTTTCGCTTGACTTGGCCCTTTGATTGACTCGTAAAGGTGCGATGTAAACAAAGGTACCTTCAAGCCATAGTGGGGCACAACCCAACATCAGCGTCCCATCACTCGTTCAATTCAACGCTTCTTTTTCATTCAATAAATAAAGATAATAACGACGAAATAACAATTAGTCATTCCCTACAAATATGCGACCTTCACGCGATACCACCCCTCCCTCTATGACAGATTTACTCGAGTGTCCCCTCATTCCCGTTGGAAGAAGCAGGCGGGTCTTTTTAAACGACTATCGTACACGCGGCGTGTTGCACACATGTATAATTATTGAGAAAATGTTACAGGCCGATTTCTTTGAATATGTTATTATGTTAAAGCGATCACCTAAACACTTGTATTGCTTAACTCGCTCCATTAATTTATAAACGAAGCCAACCAAAATAAGCGAGAACACACGTCACGTGCGCTAAGCCCTGTGTTCTGTAGACTGATTTATATTCCACAGATGAAATTAACTTGCTTCGTCAACAATAGTGTTTTCCTTTCAATTAATGTCTTTTTTTCTGCCGAGAAAACGTGCACACGATCACCAGCCAGGGGATAGGAACAGGTCCAATAGAGGAGGAAAGTTTTAAGCAGGGTGAAAAGGCGTTGAATACGACTTCAATCATTTCAGTGATGCATAATTCTGTGATTCGAAATGAGCAAAATGGCAGGACAGAAGGTAAAAGATAATAATCAACACGGTGCTTAAATCATTCAACATGCCTGATATATCTCGAACGATGTTGCTATAGCACAGTGATACATCGTAGGCAGCCTGCTACATGATAATGCATGTTAACGCTAATTTCAAACAAAGACATAAATTCCATTTTTAATATCGAGCGCGACACGCCAAAATTCTCGAGCACATCAAGCAAAATTCTCGAGCATATCAAGGCTGTAGTGACCACAATGTGGTGGTCAGTCGCATATCGGGAGCGTGGAGCAGACTTGCGAGATCCAGTTGACCTTTTCAGCTCTCGTTCTCTTCATCCACCCATGTGACATCGGGACCCTTGGCCTTTTTGACAACGGCTCCGGGGGCATCCCTTTGGTCTGAGCTGCAGCAGTTCTTGGTCTCCAGGGTGATGTAAAGGCTTTGCAGATGGGGAACTGTAACACTTTTCAGGTCCTCTCATTGGCTTCTCTTCCAACACAGAAGTCCGGTGAGCTTGGCGAACATCTGTCGCTGCCCCTGCATCTCCGTTCGCTCCACCACCAGCTCCAGATTAGTTATCTCCACTTGCACAGCTTCCTAGCCACCGGCAGTGGAAGCCTCATCCAGGAGGTCTTGGCTGCACTCAAAGCTTTGCCTTCTTTTTTTTGTGAAGATCCTCTAACGTTTCTTTTGCAGCAAGACGTTTTGCTGCTTGAGACTGCAAAAGTGATCAAGACACATGTTTTCCTTCAAGTTGTCTTCACTGTCGCCTTGGAGTGCCTTGACAGTCTTCGCAATCTGTTGCTTCCTGTTCTCCTTCACAACGCTGTTCCGAATGATGGTCTCGTTTTCACAGATCTGCCTAATGATTTGCGCTCGCACAGCATAGATATTTCTCGCCGCATCAAGGCAGTAGCGCATCAGGTCCTTGACGTTTGCGTTCACCGCAGTGGCACGCTCCAAGCCGGAGTATCGACAAAGCTCATCTTGGAGACGCTAATTATCTTAATTGTGCTGGTCAGGTTCTCCATCTTCACGACGTAAACCTGTAAAATTGCATGGGACCGCGATTACTCCTATTTACCATCGGTGGCATGCTGTGACCAGTTCCTGTTGCCTTTAAGTAGCAACTCTAACAGTGTCCCAGAATCTCTCACCTTCCGTTTTCAAGAGTTTGAGATGGCGACGCCCTTGTCCTGGTCGTCGCGCACGACCAAGGACGGTCCGATTGTGCACAGGAGGTTCCGTACGACCTCGTTGTAGACTTCCAGGTAGGTGACCGCCACGTCGCACGAGTGGCCCTCGGAGCGGCGCTTGTCAATGTGGCGGTAGAGCTCGATGGCCGTCAGGGAGACCACTCTGGGACACTCCTTGGAGCCCAACATCGTGAACGTCTTGCCGGCTCCGGTTGCACAATACGCGAACAAGGAGCAATTGCAGCCATCAAGAAGCGTCGTCAGCATCTCCTTGTTTGTGTGCTCAAATATGTACTTATCTTTTTTGTGTTCACCAACGACGTGATCAAACATAATAGTTCGGTTTGGCTTGACGAGGCCCCCGCATGCCCGCTGCCCTTGTGAGTAGAAGGGCTTGGCTTCGGCCTTGATTTCAAACACGAGGTGCTTGTGGTCAACGACGCGAATGATGCTGGACGTCTTGGACTGACGCTCACTCAGTGGGCGCACCCTCACGGCCACGTTCACGCGCGCCCCGGGCGACGGCGGGTTGTTGCCAGTACAGTGGCGTTTCGGGGCCCACTGCTAGCTGTCGGTGGTAGGCCGCTTGCGGTTCTGTGGCGGCGCCATTGTCGATGCTTCGGGGGGTTTATGAAACTGTGGTTTACCAAACCACCGAATAGCAATCTGTTGAATAACGCATCAGACGCGGCTAGCTCTCGAGCAGAGGAGCACGCGATCTTCTTTTTTTTTTCTCCAGGTTTAGAGCCGCTCTTGCCGTGAACCCACTACGCTCGGGGAGCAAAATCCTTTTTTTTTTCGAAAAGAAAGAAAAAGTACAAAAATATTGAAACAAATCTACATCGCACCACTTCGATGCTCACACATGATTGCCAACCAACCGAGGGCGTGGTGGTTCGTCACTATCTACCTCTCTTTCGTCAAACAAGGAAAATTTATCGATCAGGCACTGCGAGCATTAATGTAGGCAGATGATATAGTGCTTACCGCCGACAACAAGGAAGATTTGCAGAGGTTGATGGACATCTGCGGTAATGATGGAGATAGGTAAGATTTCAGATTCAGTAAGAAAAACTCAGCAGTCATGATTTTTAATGATAATGAAGGTTGTGAGCTTACGATACAGGAAGTCACGTCAGAGATAACAGATAAATACAAATCTTTTGGTGTTTGGATAAGCAATGGGACCGAGTACCTAAAAGAACACGAAATATACGTGACGACTAAAGGTAACAGGAATGCAGCAGTGATGAAAAATAGGGCACTGTGGAATTACTATTATTATGATGTTGCGAGACGAATATGGAAAGGGGTCATGGCTCCTGGGCTGACGTTCGGGAATTCGGTCTTGCGCATGAGATCAGAAGTTCAGCAATATTAGAAATAAAGCAACGCTGAATAGGTAGGCACGCTTTAGGAGCTCACGGGAATACGCCAAATCAGGGAGCGCAAGGTGATATGGGTGGACATCATTTGAGGGCAGGTAAGCTAGCAGCAAGATAAAATTTCATAAGCGACTGAGAGAAATGGGGGAGAAGCGTTGGGCTAGGAAGATTTTCAGCTACCTTTACATGAAGAATGTCGATACAAAATTGAGGAAGAGAACCATGTAGTTGACTGGTAAATACTTAGAAAACAGCAGGGGGCCAAACCAAAAAGAACTATCAATGAAGAATAAAGTGAAGGAAACGGAGACTGACATGTGGAGAATAGGCATGATTAGGAAGTCCGCACTAGAGGTCTATCGAACTTTTAAGCAGGAAATCGCCAAGAAAAGAATCTATGAAAATACTCGGGGTTGTTCTCTGCTGTTTGTGGCAAGCACGGGAGTATTGTGAACCAAGACATATTGGACCAAATACGAAGGGGTAGACACGCTATGCAGTGCATGTGGAGAGGAAGAGGAAACTTCCAAACACTTGATTATGTTCTGTAAAGGGCTTCACTTTATAGTTCAGGATGATGGCGGATAGTTTTTCAAAACACTGGGATTTAAGGACAGGAAGGGCAAAATAGACTTTAAGCGGGTAAAATTAATTAGAAGAAGGTTATCTCATTGGTGGCTAAAGTCAAGGCACGATTGAAAATAAAACACTTCACTGCAAAGTAATAGTCCTCAACTTCACTATTTTAAAGGAAAAAAAGATAAATCTTATGGTAAGTTCACTAACTATTACGGCTTGGTGGTGGTAGCCGCCGGCCGTTCAAAAGGGTACAGCCACATCCATCCATCCATCTATCCATATAGCTAGATGGCGTTAGCCTCCACCTGATATAAAAGGTACAGCCATATCAATTCATCCGTGAATCCATCTGGAAGGGACGACCATAAAGTTACGGGAGATACTTGGTGATGGCCCACACGACTGCAAAGCACTCTTTCTCCGTAGTAGAATAATTCACCTCGGCTTGGGATAAAGAGCGACTGGCGTAGGCTTTCACTCTTTCGATGTCATCTTGACGCTGAACGAGCACTGCACCGAAGCCAATCTTACTAGCGTCAGTATGAACCTCCGTGTCAGCATCATCATCCAAATGAGCTAGAACTGGCACTTATTGCATGCGCTGTCGCAGCTCATCAAATACGGCTTGTTTTTGGTTTTCCCAGAGAGACGGCGTGTCGTCCCTTGTGAGACGAGTCAGGGGTTCTGCTATCTGGGAAAATCCATGAATGAACCAACGATAGTAGGCGCTCAAACCAATGAAGCGCCGGGCGGCTTTATTATCGACAAGAGCTGGTAATTCAGTAACAGCCCCAAACTTGTCTGGATAGGGCCGGACACTTTCGGCGCTAGCTGCATGTCCCAAAAATTTGAGTTGCTCATAAGTGAAGTGGCACTTTTGTGGGTTTAGTGTGAGGTTTGCCGATTGGATAGCCTCAAGCACCCTGCGCAGGCGGGGAAAGTGCTGCTCGAATGTGGCAGAAAAGACCACCAAATCACTAAGGTAGACAAGACAAGTTTGCCACTCGAGCCCTTTCAGGACAGCGTCCATCATTCGTTGAAAAGTTGCCACTGTTTAACACAAGCCAACAGGAGGTACTCGAAATTGGTATAGGCCGTCTTGAGTCACGAAGGCTGTTTTCTCGCGGTCTCGCTGATCTACCTCGATTTGCCAGTACCGTGTTTTGAGATCGAGAGAAGTGGAATAATCAGAACGACGAAGTCTATCCAGTGATTCGTCGATACGTGGCAGCGGGTACACATCCTTTTTGGTCACGTTGTTAAGCTTTCGGCAGTCGACGCAGAAGCGTGGCGACCCGTCCTTCTTTTTAACAAGGACGACTGGATAAGACCACGAGCTGTGGGAAGGTTCATTATTGCCAACGTTAAGCATCTTAAGGACTTGTGTGCGTATCGCTTAACGTTCTTTAGCCGACACGTGGTAAGGGTGCTGATGTATTGGGCGTGTTTCTTCGCACGTGATCATTCGGTGTTGAGTGAGGGACGTCTGGTGGATCTGTACGGAACTTGCTAAGCAAGACCAGAACTCGAAGAAGAGCAATAGTAGCGCAGTCTTATTATCGGTGCACAGATCAGGATTGATGTCAATATTACTCATTGACGTGTCTGCGGTATCCATTAGTTCTGACGTGATACAACTGGTGACGCTTGCTACTTCGTGGGCAAACGCTATAGAAGTGCCACGGAAAAGGATTCGATACCCGTTGCTGTATTTGGCAACGAGCAAATCAGATCGGCCATCACGAAGGTGTATTACACTTTCAGCTACAGAAATGCTTTGCTGCAGTAGAGGTTGGAAGAAAATGTGTTCTCAATGACGCAGTGCTTCGAAATAGCAGAAAAGGAACACATGCTCCTGTGGCTAGCATTTTTTGGACATCAAAGGAGCGTACGATAGCGTGGTTCAAGAGAACTTGGGGGGAATACTGGACAGACCAGGTGAGCAAGATGGAGTCACTACTATATTATTCGATCTTTATAAAAGTAACAAGGTAGTTATAAAACGATATAAACGGGTATCTAAGCCCACAGAAATAAGACGGGGGTTTAGGCAAGGGTGTCCTCTGTCACCCTTCTTATTCGTGACGTACCTACAAGAATTACAGGCCAATTTTGAGGGGAATGAACTTAGCTTTAACTTCTTTTTCATGAAACAAGAAAAAATCATTGAACAGCGATTGATGGACATCTGTGGTAGTGCGGGAGATAGGTTGTATTTCAGATTCAGTAAAAAAAAATCAGCAATCATGTATTTTAATGATAATGAAGGTTGTGAGCATAGGATACAGAAGGTCATGTTAGAGATAACACATAAATACAAATATCTGGGCGTATGGATAATCAATGTGATTGAGTACCTAAAAGAGCACGAAATATTCGTAACGGCTAAAAGTAACAGGAATGCAGCAGTGACGAAAAACAAAGCACTGAGGAATTACAAAACGTATAATGCTGTGAGAGGAATATGAAAAGGGGTCATGGTTCCTGGTCTGACGTTTGGCAATGTGGTCTTGTGCATAAGATGAGAAGTTCAAGCAAGATTAGAAATTAAGCAACGTGGTATAGGCACGCTTGCTTAAGGAGCTCACGGGAATACAAGAAATCAGGGAGTTCAAGGTGATAAAGGATGGACATCAATCGAGGGCATACAAGCTAGCAGCAAGATAACATTTGAGAAGCGATTGAGAGAAATGACGGAGGAGCGTTGGGCTAGGAAGGTGTTCAGCTACTTGTACATGAAGAATGTCGATACAATATGGAGGAAGCGAACCAGAAAATTCACGGGTAAATTTTTAGAAAGCCGCATGTAGCCAAACCAAGAAGACCTATCGGTTAAGAAGAAGGTGAAGGAAACAGAGACCAACGTGTGGAGAATCGGCATGATTAAGAAATCCGCTCTAGAGATCTATTGGAATTTTAGGCAGGAAACTGCCAAGGAAAGGATCTATGATAATTCTCGGGGTATTTCTTTACTGTATGAGGCCAGGACGGGAGTATTGCGAACCAAGACTTATCGGGCCAGATATGAAGGAGTAGACATAGTATGCAGTGCGTGTCGACAGGTGGAGGAAACTACCGAACACTTGATAATGTTCTGTAAAAAGCTTCACCCTATAGTTCAGAATGATAGTGCAGAGTTTTTCAAAGCACTGAGGTTTAAGAACAGGGAGGGGAAAATAGACTTTAAGTGGGTAGAAATAACTAAAAGAAGGTTATCTGATTGGTAGCTAAAATCAAGGCACGAGTGAAAATTAAATCGTTCACTGCAGAGTACCAGTTCTCAACTTCACTATTTAAAAGAAAAAAAAGAAAAGTCTAGTTTTTGGTTCACTAAGTATTACGGCTAGGTGGCGTTAGTCTCCACCCGATCTAAAGGGTACAGCCATATCACTCCATCCATCCATTCAGCTGGAGTGGTTAACATCAAGCGCCCTCTAGATCCCCCTTTTCGAGATGAACAAAACCAATACAGGCCATAACATCTACCAGGTATCAAACTTCATGATTTCAAGGCGCACTACCAGCTCAGCCACACAGGAGGCCTGATGCTACGTCCCGACCATGTGCACACGCTTGACACCGGCGGTATTGAAGGGGTAGCGGGGTAACCTGTGGTGAGGCAGCTGGTGGCGGGGTAACGATATCAGCAGGTGGCAAAGGACTACTACACTAAGGCACTGTACAAGTAGAAGTCCACAGCGGGGTTGGGGATCCTTCTGGCAGTGGATCGATGCTGCTGTAGTCACCACCAACCAATGGCTGACTCTGCTGAGGAACGAAAAGTTCACCATCGCCCGATGCCTGAGACTGCTGAGGTATCAGATGTCTCCGGTTGCGAGCAAGAGCCCGTGCGCCCGTCTGTACCACATAAGAGCGTGGGCGCTTCGCGGGACTGAGCACTGTGCCTGCATACTCTGTGTCCCGAATTCACACTCACTTCTCCTTCTCCAGAGGATGTAAGTCCTTCTCAGCGTGCCGACGGTTCAAATCTTGACACTGGCGGCGACGTTGGGCCGGGTCACGCATGTTGAAGTCGGCAGCGCAAAAAGAATTGGGAAGAACTGTAGCTGTAGGCACAGGAAGGTAAGTCCGGAGGCTGCATTTCATCAGCAGCTGAGCGGGGCTGTTGCCGGTGACGCCAGGTGCATTGCTGTACGACAGGAGAGCCAAGGGCCAGTCCGGATACTTTTTGAAGAGTTCCTTGACCGTCCACACCATGCACTGACTTCACCGTTAGGCTGAGGGTACCTGGGACTGATGTTGATATGAGAGAAGCCGTAGTTCGGGGAGAAGGCATGCAACTTTTCCAACGAAAATTGCTTTCCGTTGTCGCGGACGAGTGTCTCAGGTATCCATATCTTGCAAAGACAATTTTGATAATGGAGATCACCACCGTGGATGTCGTAAAGCGAAGGGTCAGCACTTCGGGGTACCTTGAGTATTAGTCGACGAGGAGAAGGTAATCTGCTCGGTCGTGAAGAAAGATGTCCACCCCGACCCACTCCCAAGAGCGGCTAGGCGTTACCGTAAGAAGCAGTGGCTCTGCTCACTTTACCCGCGTGGTGGTGCAATAGGGACTGTTTTTCACCATGGTCTTAATCTGGTTCCCCATAGTTGGCCACCAAACAGCCCCCTTGGTGATGGTGTGGCAGTGGTTAACTCTAAGGTGCCCATCGTGAATCAGGGAAAGGACATGCTTGCGCAGAAATGTGGGCACCAATAAGCTTCCACTTCAGAAAAGGCCGTCATTGATAGTTATTTCAGCAAGACGAGCCCAAAACTGACCCATGTTGCGGGACAGATTCTGCTTCCGAGGTCATCCTTGCGGGCAGTAAGCCTTGAGCTGCGCGCACTCCCAATCTGCAGCCTGGCGAGCTCGAAAGTCGTCGAGTAGTATCGCAAAAGTGGGAGGAATAACGCGGAACAGGAGGGATAGGTCGGTGCAAAGGGCTGGAGGGACGTCTCGAGGCAGCGTTTCCGGCCGAGCTGGCGTGACAGTGCCGACAAACTTGACACAAAAGGCAACGATGGCAGGATAGCCGAGAAGAGGTTTCTCTAGACCTTCGACGAAGTATAGCTGTTCGTTAATTTGCCTGCCCCACCAAGACAGCTGCGCAGAAAGTACCAAGAAGCTTCAGAGCCTGTTTGCCGAGCCCAAAAAGTTCTTCGCCACGTGGCTTGTCAAGTTCGACTGGGCAGCCAAGAAATGCACGTGGCACCACCGAGACGTCGGTGCCGTAGCCTACTTTAAAGACGAGGGTGTCCGTCGACGTGTACTTCTACGTAGCGTCCGTTCTGAGCCACCGCCGCGACGGCGTGTAGCTACACAAAGCCGAGACGCTTCTTCGAGCGACACACCAACGCGAAGTGGCCTCACTTTTTGCAGCGATTACAAATCGCTTTGGCAGCTGGGTAGTCCGACCGTCGGTGAAACTCGTGACTGCGAAATTGGCACTGCCCGCTTTGGCTGCCGCTCTCGAAGCTACCGAGGCCTCGCCGCCGTGGCTCTTCTTGCCATAGTCCCGTTTGTCATGTAGTTCACTTGGACGCTGCGCTAGATTACAGGAAGTAGCCGAGTTGGCATGAGACGCCGACGTCGGTTGCTCAGCGGCGAAGGTCAGGCATTGCTTTTCGCGCTTCGGGTCTTTGTGTTGACGGGCTTGCACGAGTGCATCGTTCAAGGGGACGCTCGGGGTTTGGCTTAGTTTGTCCGAGAGACGAGAGACCAGCGAATCCACGACAAAACTGTCACGAACAAGACGCTGTTCGACAGCTGGCGAGAGATAATTTCACTTGCATACCATGCTTTGCAGGGCAGTGAAGAAACTGTCAACTTCCTAGCCGGGCTGTTGCGTCCATTTGTGGAAGCGAGCACTCTCGTACACCTCGTTTACTTGGTGCACGAAGTAGCTTGTGATTGACCGGGAGACTTCCACGTACGACTTGTAAGCGTCCTTGTCGGACATGAGCGATCTGAGGACGACGCGTAACCGAGGACCCATGAAGTAGTGGAGCGTCCTTACCCGCGTCTTGTCTGGCGCTGCGTGCAGGCCAGTTAAAAAAAAATGGCCCCGTATCTGCATGTAATCTGCAAATGTCGTCGAACGATGATAGTCTTGCGTGTGGAGAGAGTGAACAAGACATTTATTTGATGTTCTGCGCAAAAAAATCTGTGAACGGTATACTGGTGGCACTGCGTTAGAGTGCCTCGAGCGTGCAGCGGAGGCGAACAAGCGCATCAAGTCACGTCACACGTGAGACATAAGCACCATCCGGCAGCTGTCTTAGAAAACAAAGCGTGTGGCTCTGGGACGGGTGTGCGCACCCATCTCAGAGTTGATAAGGGGTAGAACGCAAGGCGACGGATAGGTGCCACCACTGTTTCGTTTTAGCAAAGCGTTGGAAACACTCGCCTTTCCGTGCAAGCGTTGCATGGTCAGCGCAGCGTGATAAGCGCTACGGTCCTTAAAATTACCTATGTATGCCTTTTCTAGTAAGAGACGCACATGCAGATTATATACCTGGTGTTATAATGCCCCAGACATGCGCAATGATTGCTTTTTGATTGACAATTGCACAAGTATGAACGCTCAACCTTGAACAACATAGGTGGGCGCTGCGGATGGAGTCGGCCGTTTCAAGTACCCGATGCCCTTAAGAGTGGACAAACAGACAAATGTACAGACAGACAGACAGACAGACAGACAGACAGACAGACAGACAGACAGACAGACAGACAGACAGACCGGAACTTTTGCGTCGAAGGTCCCTAAGAAAGAGTCTTTAAAAAGCGTAGTACTCGAACTACTGTAGGCAGGGAAGCCACCCGCCTGCATCACCGAAGGAAAACGGAGGCGGGCTCCGGAGACTGGCAGGAGCAAAGGTGGGAAGAGGAAGACCGGTGACCGCGGGGGTGAGACCAGGAAGATTGGTAACCATACCGGTGGGAAGGGAAGCGTCGTTGTTAGCATTGCACAGAATATTGTCTCCTGGGTTAAACACTTCCTCTCAAACCGTAAACAATTCACCTCTGCTAATAATCATAACTCCTCTAAAACTCACGTATCATAAGGCGTCCCTCAGGGGGCGGGCTTATCACCTCTTCTATTTTTAATATTCATAAACGACCTGCCAACAAACATTCAAACAAAACTTCGACTATTTGCAGATGACTGTGTCATATACTCCCCCATTCACAACTTTGAAAACAGTACTAAACTACAGCAAGACCTCGACACAGTTGCGCTATGGTGCCAAGACTCATCAATGCCGTTAAATCTAACCAAATGCAAATCGATGTCATTTTCCCGTAAACGCACCACTGTTCATCATACCTACTTTATCAATTCGCTTCCTCTCGATTCGGCTTCGTCATACAAGTATCTCGGAGTGCACATGTACCCATCTCTTTCATTTGCACCGCACGTACAGTCCATCTGCTCAGACGCTCTGCGTACGCTTGGTTTTTGCGCCGTAACCTCAAATCAGCATCTCCTGACGTTAAAAAACTAGCATACTTAACATACGTACGGCCAAAGCTCGAATACGCATCGTCCATTTGGAATCCATCCCAGGCATACCTCGTTAGCGAACTAGAAGCAGTTCAAAACCGCGCTGCCCGCTTTATAACCTCACAGTTCTCCAGAGAAATCAGCGTCACCGCCCCAAAACAATCAATTGAACTGCCATCACTCGCGTCGCGCCACCTCATCTCGCGCCTATGCCTCCTCCACAGTTTCTTTTTCCGACCCCAATCAAGACACGAACTTTTACAGCCCCCAAACAGAACTTCTTCCCGCATTAACCATTCAAACCCCATTGCACGAATCAACGGCCGTACATCCGCAATGAACGACTTCTTTTTCCCCCAAGCAATAACACTTTGGAATCGCCTTCCCGACACCATTGTTGCCACACCTGACCGCCCATCATTCCGCGCCAAATTGGAATCCCACTTTGATTCCACCCATTAACCCGTGGCTGTAAATATATTCTACCAACGTACTGTATGTATAATTTGCTTGTGCCTAGTTGTTTGTACTCTAATTCCCAGCCAAAGCGTTTCTTTTGTGTGTTATTTGATTCATTTTTGTTGTCATTTTTGACCAAACTGCCATATTAGAACTGTACTGTTTATAATAACTTGTTCAACTTGAATTATACACACTCACAGCGTATTTTTTGCCCCCCCTTATGTAATGCCCTCGGGCCTTTAAGGATGCAATAAATGAAATGACGGAAGCCAGGAACTAGAGATTCCACTTCTGAAACCATGTCGTGGGCACGTTCAAGCAGAGGCATTCAGAGACGCAGGCCGAAGCCCGAGGGCCGCAGTAACGAGACGCACGCTCCACGTTTCCAACACAAGTGCCCCGTTTGTTAGTACACCATTCTTTATGTACACAATCCTATAAAGGGCGCCCCGGACCCAACACAGCTGGAGTGAATAACATCACGCGCCCTCTACAGAAAGTGCCCATGTGACACCCGCATGCTCAATCAAGCCTCACTATTCGCTTCCATGGCTGCACGAGCGATGAAAAAACATTCGACTTCGAACGTGTGGCTACGTATGGAGCATCATGTGGCTGCGAACTAGTTGGTATTCCGTACTTCAAACTGCTCAGCGCTAAACACAGCAAGACAAGTGAATCAAGAATTAGAGCCGACATCTAATTGAAATTATCACAACTCCCAAATGTATTGCCTACACCCGAGATTGAAGCAACATGCTTGTGCTCAAAAAAATGAAGTGAAACATAAAATCACAGAGACCACACAAGAAAAAAACTAAAAGCAGCGATATAGAACATGCCAGGGAATCCAGATAAACAAGTTCTTTGCAGTAAAAAGTATTGAAGGTTCTGGGTGCCACCATGAGCATGAGTCTGAAGAACTTGTGTTTTCTCAGACAGGCGCTGGCCATCGTATTTCTGACTATGAGAACCTAAAGAAACGTCCCCACTCTTGTATTTTACTTTTTGCAAGTTTTCCAGTAACCATATGTTTAGAAACGTTCCTGTTTAACCAATGCACTGAATGAGCAATCTCAGTTATGTGTTTGAACTAGTGTTCTTGAAAGACCTTTGAACCATAGCCAAGCTATTCACCACAAAATTTTGTTGACTGTGCAGTAGGCATCGATTACAGCATACGTTGGTTCTGTGGACCCAGTTATGTGGGTTAAAGAGACGGGTGCCGAAATATACAGTTGCGGA